ATCCTCTGACTCTTCTCTGGAGTGCTAGGGATTACAAGCATAAACCAAATGCTTTTCAATCCACACAGATTATCTCTTAAAAAGAACAATTACCTTTCGCAAAAAGTTTATGTTAGAGTAGTGTAGCAAAACAAAACAAAGAACTGTCACAGAGTCTCCCCTCCGAACATTACCATTAGGTAGCAGCTCACCTTAGCTGCACTTCCACTCCACCATATGGAGGATTTCATTGATCAGTTGAGATTTTTCTTTCTTTCTTTTTTTTTTTTACAGCTTTATGTACCAAAGTTAATAAATGCCAAAATAACCCAAATATCTTGACTCTGCAAGAAATTTACCCTGAAGTCATGGAACACTTTTTTGGTGAGAGCTTCATACAGTGAAATTAGTATTAATGTACTGTTTTTTCCATGTGTGGCAATGAATGTCTCTAATCACAGCTATTCAGGAGGATGAGGCAGGATGATTTTGAGTTCCAGGCCAGCCAGAGGAAAGAAGGTGAGACTCTGTCTCAAAACAAAATATGAAAAACAAGGGCCAGGGCATGGTTCAGATGGAATAACTCTTGCCTAGCATGCACATTGCTCTAGGTGCAGTTCCTAGTACTGAATACAAATACAGCCTTTTGACCACTCAAAATTATGCAATAGCGTAGGAGTAAAGTTAGCAGAACATTAGGTTGTTTTCTGCAATACCATTCATAGCTTAATAGTTTTGACTATCTAATTTTATATTTTTGGCCCAAAAAACAGCAAAGTAAAAAAAAAATCTCCATCTCATCCTTAAATTAAGATGTTTCCCATCTCAAGCCCTGTTGTAGAAAATGAGAACTCTGAAATGTCACCTGCTCCCTTTATTACTGCTGTCTACTTTCAGTGGCCTTTCCTATGATCAGAGTTCCTAACATTAGTAGATGTGACAAAAAAAGTGACTCTAGATACTCTCTAGTCTCCAATGGGAGACAGAAAGAAAGGAAAGGAAAGGAGAGAGAAGAGAGGAGAGGAAGGAAAGAAAAAGGAGAGGAGAGGAGAAATTAAGGAAAAAGGAAAGGAAAGGAAGGGAAAGAAAAAAGAAAAGGGAGGGACAGGCTCAGTGCACAGAAACTGACCAGGTGCCAGCTTTGTGGGCACTCTGCTGTCCCAGTCTATACACTACAGATTGAAATGTCTTCTTTACTCTTACACTACACATGGAAAAAATTGCATTACATAAAAGGAAGAAAATGACAATGACTGAAAATGGATCAGACAGTCTGCAATGTCATTAAGTAAAGACCAACACTTGTTTTCTATCAATAGAAATGATTAATTTAAAAAAAAAAGTTGAAGGAAAGCCAAATCAGGAAGCCTGGTAGGATTTTGAGCTTCATGGCACGAGGCTCTGGGCTTGTCTAGTTACAAGTATGGCTCAGGGTATGCTGACCAAAGGACCTCAATTTCCACTGCTGACATGGTCTTTCATTCCTGCTAGTTAAAGAAATACATAAAAAATATTATAAAAATACATTAAAGTTGGTCTCTGAACAGGTTCAATTTCCAATTTCCTTAAAATATTATTCTCTATTTAGTGAATAAAAAATGGCTTAGACTCTTATCATATAGTGAAGAATCTTTGTTTATCAATATAAAAACAGGAGATCAACTACTTGATTTTCTCTGTAGCACAGTATAACCATTATTAGTAGAGAGCACTGGTAATGGTGATTGTGGTGAGTTCTTAGCACAGTGGTTAAAAGATGAGCAGCATCAGAATCCAGAATTCTTGTCCAAACTCCATAGGACAGTAAAACAAAAAACCTAAACTCCCTATATTAAAGAGCTTGTTAAGTGTAAGCTTTATACTTAATGTTATCTCATTAAATAATTCTGTTACATTTTTATTTGGTTCATAGCTGTGTGCATCTGAGAATGAAATTAGGGTAGCATCAAGTCTGAGAGACTTCAGGTATTGCCAGAGGAGAGGAAGGTTATGATTGAGGAAGGCAAGGAAGTGGATTAGCTAATGAGATGATTTATCTGTTTCAAACTTTCGCCTCTTTACCTTGTCAAAATGATGAACAACAAAAAGATGAAGGGAGAGCTCAGGCTTACTTCTTAGTTTGTACTTGCATGTTCACTGGAGTATTTCTTTCTCTTCTAATAATTAGCACACCATTATTCTTTTCAAGGAAAGAATTTCCTTAACTACTCTCTATTTTAAATTTCTCCCACAGACATGAGAAAACACTTAAAGATCACTGGAGTTATTTTTTTTATTTGCTTAGAAAACTAGATTCTCTAAGGTATATTTAGAACTCTTATTTATTTGTACTTATCCTTATACAGAAGATCTTCGGTGACTGACTAAACAGAGTTAGCATATTAAGGACAAGGATGTTTACGAATAACTAACAGTTATTAATGGCTGCATTCCTCTCAGTATAGCATTAACATGCAGAATTAATGCCAGGGTTTTCAGAGAAAATGCAGGGAAAATTGAGAATTCACAAAAGGCAAATGTTCAAGGGATATCTTATTAAGATGAATTTTGAAGTGGGCATTGTGGTGCATATCTGCAATCCCAGTTACTCTGATGGATGGAGGCAGGGGAATCATGAGTTTGAGTATAGTCTGAACAAATCAGCAAGACCTTATCTTATAAAAAAAAAATGAAAACAAGAAGGCTGAGGTTGGCTCAAGTAAGTAGAGTGCTTGCCCTTAAAGGCAAAGGCCCTAGGTTACACACACACACACACACACACACACAAACACACACACACCACACACACACAACACATACACACACATACACACACACACAAATTAAGCATACAATTAGTAGTAAGAATTTAATATTTAAATTCTCAACCATCTACTAATAATTGATAAGGACACACACATGCAAAATACCATGTTCATTCTGTTAAGGAAAGATTCTTCAGGTTGTATCAATATTGTATCTTAAAACTGTGGAATCTTAATTAAATATAGGAAAATCAATTTCAAAGTTCTTTCAGTCATGATGAATTGATTTTTGTTTAGCTTTTTGACATTACAATTTACTACAACATGATATTGCGATGCAGAGTAGATAATACTCTTTTCATTTGTTAAACGAAATAATATGCACCAACTATTTGTCGTGAATGACAAATGACTGAATTTGTGAATTAGTAATGCAAAATATATTTAATAATAACAAAGCATTTTTCCTTATCCTTAGGACTCATATCAGGAAAAGGCTAAGGTTGGCCCCTGATTTCAAATAAGTAGTACCTACTTTTTTCTGGGAAATGAAAAAGAAAAAGTAATAATTTATCCAAGAAAAAACTATCTTCTCTATTTATAGGGAAAGACTCCAGCCCTTTCTTTTTTTTTCTTTTCTTTTTTTTTTTTGAGATAGGGTCTCTCTGGCCTATTTGCCTGGGCTGGCTTTCAACAGTGAAAGAGAGAAACACCTCTCTTTCATGTATTTTTCTCTCTCCAATGTTTGATTATTTAATTTGCCCCCTTCCAGAAGATGAAATGAAATAAGCTAAAGATCATAGCAAAGTATATTTCTTTATTATACGACTGTAATAGGAAAATAAATTTTTTTGAGTAGTTAATAGAATCTGTACCTGTAGAGCCCATGGACAATTGAATGAACTTTTGACTGAGAGGTAAATGAAATGACTGGCATGATATAGCAATTGTTCTGTAGTGTCAGAGAATGTCAGTTTTCCTACTGGTGAAATTCAGTTTACTCATTTTCATGGCAAAAGGACAGAGGAAGAGTTAGCTCTTCTGTGATAGAGATCTCCATGAGTGGAGCAAGTGGGGAAGGAATACTTTTAAAACTTTCTTAGATATTATCTTTGCTTTGCCTTGCTTTTAGTCATAGTATTAAATATATTTTGAAATTTAAAGTTACATTAAAGAAGAACATGAGAAAGGAAATTTGTGAAATAGGAATGGAAAGTCTCTGATGCCTATGAGGAGGGTCTAGGTTTCTTCATAACCACCAAATGTGCAATAAAGACTCATCTGTCCTTTGTTTATTGTGGTGGAAAGAGAGTCATCACTGTCATTTTGTGGTCCATTTTCTTCACCATGTTCCTTACCTGAAATCCCAAGAATTCCTCACATTGGATAAAAGTACTCCACCTCTGGGCCTGGATCACATGTAGGGCAGAGCTGGGATGGAAAAATATGAATTATATTTTGTTATTGTTGTTTTGGCTTTTCTTAGTTTGCTTTTGAGGCACCATTAATTTTTTCAGAGAGAACAATTTCAGAAAATGAAAAAGATATGGAATCTCTCTCACCACCACCATGTGTGTGTATTATGCATGTGAAAAACCTTTAGTATCTACAGATAAAAGCATACTTAGAATTGACAATAGATCAGTTTGGGTTGTGATTTTTTTTAGTGCTTATTTCTAGGCAAAGTCATTTGTTTGGCTGCAGTTTTATGAACATTCAAAACTGAAACTAGAGGGGGGCCCATGGCTCTGCTGTAATCCAGCTGCTTGGGAGGCTGAGACTGAAGGATCATTATTTGGACAGTCCAGGCAAATAGTTCGTGAGACACCATCTCCAAATAGTCGGAGAACTGAACATGTGGCTCAAGTGGTAGACACCTGCCTTTGCAAGTGCAGAACTCTCAGTTCAAACTCCAGTTCCACACACACAAAAATAAATCTAAACTGTTTAGATGGGAAATAGCAGATAAAGAACAGGAGACTCAATAATAAGTACAAATCGTTTAAACTCTTATGTAAAATTTGATAAGATGGTTTATATAACTAAGGAATTGACAAAATCTTGTGGGAAACACTTCGAAATGCCAAATTACACAAGGGATTTAGTCAAATAAAAATTTTTTTTGGCAGGAATAATTATGATTTTTGTAATCATTTGGGAGCCAATGAAATACCAGTTTAGTCTAGTTAATAATCTACAATTATTGGTTTAAAGAAGTATATTAGTGCAAATTTCCCTCACCCACCCTAGTTTTTTCTTTTCTATCAATCCCACAAGCCTTTGGCACAATGAAGTGGTGACTTTTATTTCCTTTCTCCTTCTCTTCAGCTCTGCCTATTCAGGGGAGTGTATCGTCGAGATACACGTAAAATTCCACTTTTTATTGTTCAATTTTGTTTTATATTCTTAGCAAAGGAAGGTTAGTAAACTCTGCATCTTTAAATAATTAAGTTTTACTTTAGCATTTATATTTCTCTGCCATGTGATGATATTTTTTATTTGTGAACTCCTTATGTGGTTATTAATACTTATCTAACACCTTATGTTAAAAATGATGAGAATTATTTAGTGACTATAATTTTCTTTTGCACAGGACCAAAGCTGGGAGAGTAACTTGAACTATATGGAGTAGGTTTGAAGATAGAATTCATTATTATTGAAATACCTATCTATTGCATATGCATTATTTAAAAAAGCTATGTTGTTAATATCTTTACAAATAGAACTTGCATTTAAGTTATTTTTATTTCAATTTGTCTTCTTAGTAGCTGTTTGGTGGCTTATTAATACATATCTAACATCCTTAGGTTAAAAATGATGAGAATTATTTAGTGACTATAATTTTCTTTGCACAGGACCAAAGCTGGGAGAGTAAACTTGAACTATTATGGAGTAGTTTGAAGATGGAATTCATTAGTATCTTGAAATGACCTATCTATTGCATAATTGCATTATGTAAAAAAGCTATGTTGTTAATATTACAAATAGAAACTTGCATTTATAGTTATTTTTATTTCATTTGTCTTCTTAGTAGCTTGTTTATAACATTACAAGTTGCATCACTCTTATTCAAATTTGGAATGAGGCAATTAAAAATTGAACATTTTAAAATTCCAGTGTCATTGGTGATAAAATATCTCTTCCTTCAATGGCAGAAGAATAGTTTACCATAATCCTAAGATTTCTGTAGGGATAGAACCTAATATTCTGAACCAATGAATATCTGGAAATTAAGTTGGAAAGAAATAAAATGATAGCATGTTTGACACCTGTTTTCTTTCATTTGGTTAAAAACACATCTTGTTGATTTTTCCTCCCCTTCCAGACTAAGAGTGAGATGCTCACGATCTTAATGATCTTTTGGGAACAACAATTTTCAAAAGGCCTGTAAGTGGAAAATTATTTAAGAGTCAAATTGGTAGTGTTTGTGCTAGCCATATGGTAACTATCTGAAGTCCTTACAGTCTGCCAGCTAAGAATCCACATTGTACAGTAGGCTGTCCAAGAGAATTCTGCACACTGAGGAAAATGCACAGATGTTATCTCGTGGGGCTCACCAGTATAGCAAGCCAGGGCCACATGTGGCCATTGAGTCACTTATAAATATGGTATGTGCAACTTCAGGAACAAAAAATTCAAAAATGCAATATTAACGGTAATTTATATATTCACACAAGTAGTAATGTTCTACTAGTGGTGGACCAATGGAAACTCTAAAAACTCTCATACAACCTTGGAAAGTTCTGATTTTTTGTCAGTGGCAAGAAAGTTCAGTAATTGAATCCTTTGGGCAGTTTAATCACTAATTCCCCTTTAATAGCAAATAGTCCTGTGGTTTCTTGAGATATTTAATTAATTTTTTCTGGTGGTGTGAATCAAACTCAGGGCTTACACATGCTAGTCAAGCACTACTATCACTATAGGCCTGATAAATGAGCCGTGTGTGTTTACTTGTGTTTTTAAATAACTCAGGGGGCATAATGTAAATTACCTGCCTTGGACAGGTGACCAATCTTAATGTACAGCTTGCTATGTTTGCCTGCTTATGTGCATCCAGTATCATCCACACATAGACATTTTAAACATGGTAGAAACCACAAATTTCTTTTTGCCAGGAAAACACATGCTGCCTCGCTAGGCCTCAGAGAATCCAGTTATAAATAAGGCTTTCTTGGTAATTGTTTAGAGATACTATTACAAATGATACACACATACATGCATTTCATCCCTAGCATACAACCTGTTTGATCTTAAAGTCATATTGTGCCACATGTTTCCACGACTTTTTGTTTCAGGATACTGAGTTGCCTTTTCTCGTAATCTCCAGAAGTGCCCATTTGAAGAACATGTAAAATTAGTGAATGGAAGTAAACGAGGTGACAAAAAACATGTGTTGCTGATGAGTTCAGCTGAAACTGTGACAAAGAACCTGGTCAGTTAGCATTCTTATTTTTGGGTTCTTTCTTCTATTTAGGTAATTTCTGAATATTTCATTAGGTAACTGCCTTGTCATTAGGAAATTGTACCTTTTTTGTTTCTTTTGGTGGGACTGGGTTTGAACTGAGGCTTTGCATTTGCAAAACCAGGTTGCTCTTACTACTTTGAGCCATACCTCCAATTCTAAAAATTATTCCTAAATTGATCAAATTTGTGAAGCACCATCCAAAGTTGCCTTATAGATTAAGCTATTTGATTCTTCTGGTGCAGAGAGGCTCTAAGGCTAAGTGCGCCAATTTTAAAATCATTTCTCATTGAGACCCACAACACCACATGTCATTACTGATATTTAAATGGACACTTGTTCATTTGCAACAATCTCTTTTTCAAAATTTGAAACTTGACTCCTTATTATGCAGAGGGACTGATAGTGATAGGCATGTTTTTATTGTTGGACTTTTAGAATTCAAAATATAATGAAGTAAGAAATAAATTTTAATGACGGAAGTTAGTTGAGTTAATTATTTCTTCAAAAATAGAATCTATATTTTAATGCAGTCAGCAATGCCCACAGCAGATTGTGTTTCTCCTCTTTTGATTGTGGTATCTATTAAAAAGTTGCGGCCCTCGTCAAAAGGTGCAGATCAAATGAGAGAAATGGGAACCCTTGTTGCTCCAATGATGAAATCACTTGCTTACCCCAGGTCTGGTTTTCCTCAATGTCATTATAATGATTGTCTCCTAATCTTAAGTCGTCAGGTGAGGAAGGGTGAGAAACCATTCCTAGAGCAGCAGCTTTCTGTTTTATTCATACACAAGTCACACGAATGGTAGTGATCATCTAGAAAAGTTAAAGAGGGATAATCAAGAATTGAGGGGAAACTAAGCCTGGGGAATGAATTTCTTATTGCTTTATTTTATCTTTTTTACACTTCACTCAACTGTTATTAAAATACATTAGTTTCTAGGCCACCTTCCCTTCCCCTCAAACCCACGCCTTCCAGGCCAGAACCTGTTCTGCCCTCTTGTTCTCCGATTTTGATTGAAGAGAAGATGAGATACAGATATACAAGAGAGATATCCTAGGTTGCTCCATTGCACCATGTGTATTGCAAAACTGGGGATGATCTTTATGATTTCCTTTCTCTTGGGGATTTGTAAGATGTTTTAGTCTCTATTATTTCCATATTAGAATTTATTTTTAACTAGTACATTAAAACATAGAATTTTTTATATATATTTAAGATGTTTTATTCTTATTATTTTCCATATTAGAATTTATTTTTAACTAGTACATCAAACGTAGGAATTATATATATTTATGGGATGCCAAGTGATATTTGTCCAATTACATAAAACATGCATATATGAATTGCATACAATGTATATGATTTTTTAACCAAGCTTTACCAATGTATCAGATTTTTATACTGCTCTGTGGCTATAAGAAGAGGTTTTTCCCAGTTATTTGAAGCCTGCTATCTTCCATTTAGCATACTCTTTTTGGAGATAAGTTATGTGCCATTCCAAATCTTCGTGAACACTATGGTGAACTGGCTGGCTGCTGTGACAAACAAGAACCTGACAGAAATGAATGCTTCTTGCAACACAAAGATGACAACCCTGACTTGCCTCGTTTGGTGAAACCAGAGACTGACGCACTCTGTGCCTCCTTTCAAGAAAACGAAAACAAGCTTATGGGAAAGTAAGTAATCAAATGTCTAGGTTTCAAAGTTAAAAACCAAGGAATAACTCTGTAGATCAACACTATTATAGCAATCACCACATCTAAAAATATTTTCAACATTAAGACTTGGAAGTTGTGTTATTACAATGACTATTAAAGAAGTAATATTTGATAGCTCAGAAATCTACACAACCAAAAATATCATCAGTGATCTTTTGATCTTGAAATAGGGTATGATCTATATAAAAATATGAGAGTGACATGATTTAAAATCTGAAGATACATAAATAAATATGTGTACAGATATTCTCAGGTTCATTTCATTAATCAGCCATATTAGATCATCAAAATTTTACATATAATACACGCATGTATGTGCCTACACATAAAGATAACCTCCCTTTTTACCGATATAAAGAATGGCAAAGTCAAGGCTATCAGGTACAAATTAAGCTTACTTGATATGTTACAAGTCTTTAGGTTTTGGATGCTCTGGGGAGACTATTGATTATAATTGTTTCTATGATATAGTGTCTTGGGAAAAAAATATTACCTATTCCCCCCCCCAAATTTAGGTATTTATATGAAGTTGGCAGAAGACATCCTTACTTTTATGCTCCAGAACTCCTCTACTATGCTGAAAAATATAAAGACATTTTGACAGAATGCTGCCAGGCTGCTGATAAAGATGCCTGCCTGAGTCCAAAGGTAATCCTCAAAAGAAGAATAAGAACCAGTTCATAAAGCAACCTCAGATTTTGACCACCTTATGCCTAGGTGTAGGAAACCTAGAAAATGGTCAAAGACTTTCTGGACTTGTTTTTATATGTGCCAATGATCTTTCATGTTCTTTCAAGGCCTCTAATACCTCCTGCCTCCTAAAACAGACCAGTGCTGGTCTGACAGAGTGAGTCCTTGTGCATGTATTCAGATATCCTGCCACTCTTCATGATAATGAAATACATTTTTCAAGTGTACATCAAAGGACCACAGTTTTTGTTTTCATGAGACTTTTTCTGGGGGAGGGAATTCAAAATGGAGAGTTTACTGTAGCTAAAAGACAGAGTTCATTTATTTTTTTGCAATTGTTTGCCATGTGTTCTGTTTCTTGGAGAATTTATTGATCTCATGAGAGTTTTTGGAGGAGGGAATGAAATGAATTATACATGACATTAAGAAGTCAGCAATATTTTACTTTCTGGGATTTTGCTGCACACTTCTTCTTCTAGAACCCATTTCCTGGGAATGTCTCCATGCTGGTTTATAACCAAAGGTAGTAGTTGGGGATTTAGGTGTAAATTATCTCTTTAAAACTTGATCTGGCATGAACCTATCTTTATGAATGTCTGCACTATGTAGAAGTCTTTTCTAAATTTTTTGAAATTGATTCCTTCTTGTAGTATGGTGCTTTGAAGGAGAAAGCACTGACTTCAGCTGCCCAGCAGAGACTCAAGTGTACCAGTATCCAGAAATTCGGAGAAAGAGCTTTTAAAGCATGGTAAGTATTTTTAACAGTTTACATCTTCATAACTATACAGTCATAATTGTTCAGTTGATAAAAGTATATATTTACATGGCATTTTAAACATTGCTTTCAAATACAGATTTTTGTCTGAAAGGTAGAAAGTTGAGAGAGATGAAATAAGAACATTAGTAATCTGACATAATGTTTTGTGTTATTTGTCTAAATTGTCAAAAAATTTAGAAGACACTGTCTTCTTTGTCCCCAAAAAGACATATTTAAATCTCTTTGTTTATAAAGACAGAGAATTTTATTTTAATGGTCACGTTTTATAGTTCTTTAGTCAAGGTCTTTCATTTAATTTTATCTTTGTCCCCAATCTGAATGGGTGCATTTGTCTTTTTTCATCCTGATAATTAAATTCAGCCATCAACTAAGTGGAAATTACACTTTGAATTTTCTCATGGCTCTAACCTTGCTGTTCATCTCATGCATTTGCTTGGACCTCTGTTTCTGTATTACTTAGCTGATTCTGGAAACATCCTTCAATATTTGAGCCAGGAAAAATACTAGCTGCCCTTCCAACTCCTCACCTGTCGGTCATCCCCGAGTCAATATATGGAAGAGGAAATGAGATGATAGACATTTGTGTGTTCTCTAGAAATGTCAGTTGAAGCGTCTTTGTCCAACATTCTTGCTATCCAATCCACTAAACCAATGGAATCGATAAACAAAGCAACCCCAACTTGAAACAATACATTTATAAAGACTGTGATTGTTTTGGAAATAAATTCCTTTTATCAGAGTTCAGCAACTCTGAAATGATTCTGGAAAGGGCAAGTACATCAGTCTTTTCATCTTATCATAGAGATTAGAGCCTGTGCTGGAGCAATTTCTGGTAAAAATGTGTTTTAAGCTCCCTCATTGTATAGAAATGTAAAATTTCTTTTTTTAAAAAGAGCTCTTTAGAAGTCAGAAAATATGTTAATTAACAAAAAAAGATTTCTGGAGTGTTTATGATATTTCCTAGATTGCTGATTTTTCTGATCCTTCCCAGATTATAAAATTCTTTCATGAGCACCATTTAATTTAATCCTCAGAGGAGTCCTTTGATTTTGCTGACTCTGGTGACATAGCAAAGGCCTAAGTCAGAGAGGATAAGTCACTTCCCTAGGGTCACAGCACTATGAAGGGATAAAGGAAGATCTGGAATCAGATCAGCTCCACACCTGATACCCCACAGAGTGTTGCCTCTCCAGAATTCCTCTTTCATTTCTGATTTATGAATCACTAGCCATCACACACACTCTTATAGCTCATAATTCTCCCTAAGAAAAAAAGATAACTGTTTAGTTCAAATCTAGCTTTAAAATTACTAATACATTAAGTATTTATATATCTTAATCTGCCTTGAATTTCCTTGCTATAAATGGTAATTTCTGGTACTCTTGAATAAAATATTACATAGTGATAATATTTTGATGGAGGAATTTTTTTTAGGTCATTAGCTCGTCTGAGCCAGAAATTTCCCAAAGCTGACTTTGCAGAAATTTCCAAGATAGTAATGGATCTTACCAAAATCCACAAAGAATGCTGCCATGGTGACCTGCTCGAATGTGCAGATGACAGGGTAAAAAGTCATTGATTTCCTTTTGGTCACTTACAAGCTTGCATTGGTAGAGCGAATAGGCTTGGTGTCATTGGTGATAGGTGATAGTGGCTGGCACTCTCTGCTTTCATTTACTCTGTCTCCAAGGTTTCCTGCTTTTTGTTGCTTTTATAATACCTGGCTTCATAATTACTAAATGACCTGAGAAGCTCACTGACTGATTTGGAACCTCTTTCAGTCATACTGTACCTGAGAATAAAGGCTTAATCTGAGGCAAAAGAGCTACAAAGGTAGATTTCTAAGGTACTTTTAGGGAGATAGAGGGGTTTGAGAAGGGGGATACTAGAGAGAGCTTTGGAAATGATGTTCTGTTCCCTCCTCTGCACTCTGTCTCCATTGAATCTCAATGCTAAATACACAAATTTTACCATATCTCTCTTTCCCAGTCTTGTGCTATTGTCATTTCTTCAAGGATTAAAAATATGACCAAATCCAAGATTCCTCATTTATTGTGATACCTCCTAGACAATTTATTGCAGATATTTTATGATTGCAAGACAGACCTGTGACTGTGATCTGGGCTCATTGTTCAAAAATCTTTCACACTTTATTTAGTTATTTGATGTCACAGTGCTTGCACTTAATTTGGAGTGAGTATTTGGAAGAATACCACTGTGTTTTATGGAAAAAATATCAAATATCTCAATAGTACAAAAATAAAATAACTAAAATTGAATAATCAAAATAAATATATAAATAATAACTTGTTTCTTACTTGTCTTATGGTAGTGGGAATTGAACTCAAGGTTTCATGCTTCCTGAGCAAGCACTCTGCTGTTTGAAGAATATTTACAGCACTTTTGCTTTTAAGTTGTTTTTCAAGTAAGATCTTGTATATTTGCCTGGGTTGGCCTTGGACAGTGATCATCCTATTTCCTACTCTGAGTAGCTCAGATTACCACTATGTATGGCATAGTTATTGAGACAGGGTCTCACTAATTTTTGTGTGATCTGGGTTCAAATTGTGATACTACTATCTCTGGTTCCTGAGTACTGACTAGATTTTTTGAATGGAAATGCTTTAGTTATTAGGAGCATTGACTGAGAATAAGTTCATGTACTGTACATGTTATGTACCTTGGTTTTGTATGATCTTAGGACACAATAAAATTGATATGCATACAAAATAAAGGTCTGTGGGGAACATGTAGCATTGTCCATTAATGATGAACAATTTTTGTCTTGCTGACAGGCGGACCTTGCCAAGTATATATGTGAAAACAAAGATACAATCTCCAGTAAACTGAAGGAGTGCTGTGATAAGCCCGTGTTGCAAAAATCCCACTGCATTGCTCAAATAGAAAATGATGACTTGCCTGGTGACTTAAGTCCATTAGCTGCTGATTATGTTGAGGATAAGGAAGTTTGCAAAAACTACGCTGAGGCAAAAGATGTCTTCCTGGGCACGTAAGTAGATAAGGAATTATCCTTTTATAGCTTTTATGTAGCTCCACAATTCAGGAACATATAGTGGGCTTTTTTTTGGAGTTACTACAATTTCCATGTTGCTCAGAATGAATCTTCATCCTTCCTTCTCCCAGTCTTTAAAGTTTGTTTGAAAAAATTTGTTTAAAATAGTGTTACAAAACAGTAAATGCTCTCAGCACCAATGTTCCTTGTTCTTTAGGGGTATTTCTGAGTATGTCACTAAAAATATTTTGTGTGTATATAAATTATATAAATCATTTATTCATTCAATCATTCTTTCTAAGGGCATTTCTTCTAGAATATACATGTAAATATATACTGTCTATCAATCATCTATGTAGTATTTATTTATCTATATCTTCCCATCAATATGATGGCAGCAAAGACATATGAAAAGAAGTATTGAGTCTGATACCAGCAGCTTCATATTTGGTTGAAAAGACCAGAATTTCAGTAGCATGACAAGGCTGTATACTATTAAATGAGAAATGGTTACATGCCATCAGTTTGTATGGAGAGATACTTTACATTTTTATTGTTGTATTATGATCATATCCTGTGCACAGATAATATTTAATAAAATTATGTATGCTACAAGATTTAATTCGTATGGATATGAAGAAGAGAAATTTAAGATATCTACATCCATCTATCTGGTCGAATCCTTTTGAGATGTAGTTCAAGTAAAAGTGAACATGGACAAAAATAATAGGCATCATTCATCAAACATTTAATAAGTGCCAGGCAGAGTATGTGTTCTGCATATATTATGACAATATTTCTCACAACTCACCGTGTGACAATTTCAATAAAGTGCCTAAGATTTAAAGTAAATTAAGTGACAGAAACAAGTGAACTCAGGAGCCTTCACTATGGATTCCATGTCCTTTTGCACTAAGCTTTACTGCACGGGGATTAGGCAAATTCAGTCTTTTGGAATATGAGTTACTTTTGAGGTTAGTTATGTGATTTTTTTCTTGCTCATTTTTTTCAACTAAATCTATGTTCTTTTTATATAGGTTTTTGTATGACTATGCAAGAAGGCACCCTGATTACTCTGTCAGTTTGCTGCTGAGACTTGCCAAGGCATATGAAGCCACACTGGAGAGGTGCTGTGCTGAAGCTGATCCACCTGCGTGCTACAGCAAAGTGGTGGGTCTCTTGACAGAAAAGAAATTATAGGTGTTGTGTGGTGATTCCCATAATGGAAACAAAAGCAATGCAAAAATGTGAAATGATCTATACTGCAATTTAGATATTTCTTTAAATGGACTCAAGTGCCTGCTCCTAAAACATTGTAGGAAAACAACCATGAATGAATGATTGATAAATCCTAGAATATTAGTCTAGAAAAGAAAGATATGAAGACAGCAATCTCTAACTTCACAAAACCTTGACACCATTTTTTTGTTTCTCCACACTCCTGAGAAAAAAATAAGATAAAATAAATTTAAATGTAAATTGAGGACTTTAACTGATCTCAAAGTATATCAAGTACAAGATTTAATCTTACGGAAGGCTGTGAAATCTATTCTTTTTAGAATAGTTTAAAATCTTTTTGAGATGGTTTCTTTAAATCTGAAGAAATGGATCCTAGAGGATTTTAGGGTCAACAGCAACATATAATGGTTCCTAAGTATTTGGAATCAGAGGAAAGTCATTCTTACCAGGAAGCTGATGAGAGTTGGATACCTCAGGCAGCTGATGCTGAAGGTAGAATTTCTCATTGAGATTTCAGGATCCAATGAAATAATCATAATGCTGATACCCATCATTTGCTGGTTTTTTTTTTTTTTACTATGATCTGGGTACTTTTTAAATTTCATTAGCTTAGTTGATTTATAGATCAATTCTGTGAATGTGAGAACTATTTTCAAATTCATTTTAAAAATGAGGTTTCTGAAGTTTGGAGATGGTAAGTGAAATGGTTCAAATAGAAAATGAGTCAGATGGCATGGCTCCAATGCCAGGCAATGAACTCCAGAGTCTGAAGATTCTTCATTATTTACCTTAGACAGCCTTAATTAACAAAAGAAACAATTTGAATGTAATGTGACAGATGTTTTGTTGTAGATCTACTCATTTGGCTTTGTACAGAAAGGAGGAAGAAGTGGAAAATGATCTCCCTCTTCACCTCTGGGGAATGTTATAATCACAATTCTTTTATGTTCCAGTTTGATGAACTTAAACCTCTTGTGGATGAACCTCAAAACTTAGTCAAAGAAAAGTGTGCACAGTTTGAGCAGATTGGAGAATATAAATTCCAAAATGAGTAAGTATTTCCACCTATTAGTTGTTTTTTCTTGATTATTTGTGATTGTTTTAAGACAATTATAGGCTTCCTAGAAAATGCCTTTTAATAATGAAAATGCATTACATGTTTCCAATCCTTCTTTATCAAGAATGTCCTTAAAGGAAAGGTAAAATGAGGGCCTGGCAGAGTGGCTTAAGTGGTAAGAGTGCTTGCCTAGTAAGTGTGAGGCCCTGAGTTCAAACCCCAGTCCTCCCCACCTCAAAAGGGTAAAATGAGTGGTGCTGGAGAGGCCTATATCTGTGTGCAGTTTAAAAAGTTGGTCTTTTGAGAGCATGTAGGGTAGAAAAGTTAATACAAAGTGTGGGTATATTACAAGTGGAGATGTCCTTAGAAGGTTAAGGTATAGTTTATGATGAAATAAAATATAGCAACATTTTACTCATCAGGGATTAGATTCCTTGAATGTGAAGTTCAAGTGACAATATAAAATCTGATCACAGACACATTCAGAAAGATTTCTTTGCATATGTGAATATTGCCTCCATAATGGTAAATCTGGGGAAAGGTTGGATGTTCAGTAGATATACCTTAACTTTTGTGGTTATGACATTCTTTTCCTATGGAATTTCCTCCCTAGAAGAGATAGAGACAGAATATCTGATAGAATAATGTCCTTATTTAATAGAGGCTTAGAAGGTGGTAAAGACAGGAAGTGAGAAGTGTGCATCATTCATTTTGCCATTCTTATACACAGTTAGAACTCTTCTAAGTATAGTTATTAATGGTAACAACAATGAACAAAACATAGCTCCTTAATTGAATAGATTACAGTCATACATTGACATTCAGTGATGATTTGTATCCTTTATAAACAATTATTGCATACTAGATAACTTGCCAGATTAAGTAGACTTCTTTTCTTTAAGTTTAATGCTTGCACCATCTCTATTGAGTGTGGTATATTTCCTCATATTTTTCATCTTTATCATTCAAGCTTATCACAGTGCTGATGTGTATTAAATTCACAATAGAATTTATTAATAGAAGAAGCAACAATAAATATAATAATGCCAGTAAAGTGTAATAAGGTAACTTACTTTTCTAAGATTTAAGTACAGATCTAAAATTAAGAATTTATGTTACAGATGGTATTTAAAGCCATGCTAACTCTTGCTCATAGTACTCCTGACACTATACCATCATCTTTGAGATGAGTATTTGATGAATGGAAAATAAGAACACTTAGTAGATTTTGGCAAAATTCTCTCTTCTTGATCTATGATATTAGATCATGACAGTTTTGTGTCTGGATAAAAACAGATGGACTATTGTTTTTTTATAGGCTTATAATTCGTTACACCAAGAAAGCACCTCAAGTGTCAACTCCAACTCTTGTGGAGGTTGCAAGAAACCTAGGAAGTGTGGGCGGCAAGTGTTGTAAGCTTTCTGAAGCAGAGAGACTTCCTTGTGTTGAAGACTCTGTGAGTCATTTATAATATAATATAATATAACATAATATAATATAATGCTGATCTTTTTGTTTTTAGATATTCACAAATCTAATTTCCAGAAGTGGGTGTGGACTAAGGTTGTGTGTATCTCTGTGTGTGTACATGGTAAAGGCACTCAGGACTCGTTTGTATATATTGTCCTGAGTCCCAAAATTAGTTAAGATCTCAAAGGAGATAACAAGTTTTGAAAGAAGTAATTAAATTTTCAGTATTTTTTCCTGGAATTTTCTAGATTACCACTTTCTTTGGATCTCTGTTTTATTATGCTAATATAATACTATTTCCTTCCTATAACAACACCACCATAAATACACACACACACACACACACACACACACACAGGTATACATCACCTCAAATTAATTTCTTAGTATGTAAATATATTCAATTAAAAACAAAGATGACTTTTAAAGATCCTTTGTGTTTAGTTCCAAAGATAAATCACTGCCTCCATCAACTCCCAATCAAAGTTGTGAGTTACATATAAAATTTCTTTGGTTAATTGGAGAGTGAACATTCATGGAAAACTTCCAACTTCTTCAGATTTCTGCTCTTCTGCCTGTTTTTTAGCTGTCCGTGGTCCTGAACCGGTTGTGTGTGTTGCATGAGCAAACCCCAGTGAGCGAGAGAGTCACCAAATGCTGCACAGAGTCCTTGGTGGACAGGCGACCATGCTTTTCTGCCCTGCAACCTGATGAATCATATGTTCCCAAAGAGTTTAACGCTGAGTCATTCACCTTCCATGCTGATATATGCACACTTCCAGACAAGGAGAAACAATTCAAGAAACAATTGTGAGGACTCTTTCATTATTTCATGGTTTTGTAGACTTTATAGATGCTAGTTGAAATGCATAACTTTTTCTGATATAGTGGTACATTCCTTAGAGAAAAGCATTTAAGTATGGTCTTAAGCTGATAAAAGTGTCAAGGATAAAATAAATGCATTTTTTCTTAGCAATAAAATATTAAAATCATGCCTAAAAATTGTTCAAATAATTTGTGGATAAAACCCACTATAGAATAAAATATTAAGCTAGGCCCAGTGGAAAAAGGCGTAATGCTAAAAAACAAAACAAAAGAAAAACCTAGTTAATTTGTGTGTATAGCAAATTAGTTGTGGAAATCATAAGAGAATGTATTTTTAGGGCATGTATGTTTATTTTAAGTTGCTCTATCCTGAGGACTCTACAGGTGAGACAAACACTCTCGGTGTGACTTTGAGTATAGAACTTGGATAAAAACCAGCTAGAAATGTGAATTTTTTGGCTTAATTCCCCATGTCTATCATAAGGGTTAGAAGAGTGTGAAATATAGCAATAGAAATTTGTTATCATTTTTGTTGTCTTGTTATCATGGTCAGACTTAAAAATAATATCTCACAACCTACCACACTCAAACAACTCTCTAATGACAGTGTTTTAGCTATAAATGTCAATGAAGAGGGCCACTGGCTTCCAGTTTTTTGAATTGTCTTGTTTCTTTGTAGCCTTCCAAATATTCACTTCAAACATGATCTCCAGATGAAAAACTTTTAAAATGAAGTCTAAGATTAAAAATTTAAGGATTAGTTCATTCTTAACTGGCTATAAAACCCATATTGACAAAACTTCTAAAATCTGACTAATAGCTAAGTGCACCTTTCTAGAGATATATTGAAATACACAAAACACTGAGTGATTTGCAGTCTAGGGTGTGGCTCGAGCAGTAAAGCACTTGCTTTGCAAGCATGAAGCCCTGACTTCAAACCCAGTTGCCCCCCATAAAAAAAATACTGAGTGATTTGCACTGAATATCTCACTTGTTCCTCCCACCAGCCCTTGGAGAGTGGATTTTATTATCCTCATAGGCAGATGAAAATACCGAGGCTTACAGTGGTATGCCTGAGCTTTAAACCCAGGGTTGACTGGCTCCAAGACTTATACACTTAAATGATGGCACTACCATCCTTACCATCTCCATTTTCCTAATGTGAATAAACTTTTCCTTGCAATTTCTTCCTTTTTCTGTCCAAATGTAGGGCAATTGCTGAGCTGGTGAAACACAAGCCTAAGGCAACAGAGGAGCAAGTGCATGCTGTTTTGTCAGATTTCGCAGCATTTCTGGAAAAGTGCTGTAAGGCTGATGACAAGGAGGCCTGCTTCTCCGAAGATGTATGGGAGTTTGTTCATTTTCACTTATCTGATTTCCATTTGTCCATTTGGTCAGGTTAAGGCTTAGGAATTTATATATTGAAGGACATGTGGAACAGAGATTTTATTCTATGTATAATTGTTTTATAAATTGACTTAAGTAGTTCTTGGTTTTACTGTTCTGCTGTCCTACAGCATAATATTAACTTATAATGCTTGCTCTGTTCCAAATTTATGATGTTTATGAATATAGATAGAAATATTTATAAGGCTTTCAATCAGTAAAACAAAACACTAATTTATTTAATCATATTTTCAAAACAGTGCTGGTTTCTACTTGGTTGATTTTACAGGTTAGTGGGGTAAATTTAGAAGTAAATGTCTGAATCCTTTACTATTATCCCTTATGCCCCTCTGGCCTGGCAATAATTTTTCATTCTTCTAGAGACAGTTGATGTCAGGGGGATTCCTTTTAGAGATTCTGGTTATAAATTGGAATTAAATGTTGTGATTCCTCATAGGGTCAGAGATCCTGGTAATAACCAGTGATAGTAAAAATGCTTTTAAAAATTCTAACAATAATGCTAATATTTTGCCAACATCTGTGCTTTCTTTCTATTTAGGGTCCAAAGCTTGTTGATGCAAGTCGAGCTGCCTTGGCCTAAAAACATCACAGTCACAAGCATCTCAGGTAACTCTACTTTGTATTTTTTAAAATTAATTATACTCATTATCATCAAAATAGCAGATTGACCACTTCACCAAGATCTATACAGTCCAACACAAACCACTGTTCTTAAATATATATGTATATAATTGTCAAAATTGTCACTGAGTTGGATAATTCCCATTTTGTAGATGAAGAAAATTAAACATTTAGATAAAGCATAAATTAAGTAATTTACCTGAAGGGCAAAAAGCTAGTACAAGTGGAATGAAAATTCAAAATTCAAAACCTAGTTTAAGACATCACTGTGGTCCTACTTTGACTCATATACCTTAGTGCACAATGTCATACAAGTTAGTGTTGCCCCACCACAAGGATACTCTTAGTATTAGGCTGAAGCAAATGAAAGAGCATTTTTTATAGTCCAACAACTGTTGGAATGTCAATGATTTCACATGGTTCAACCAAGTATTTCAACAAGTTCACTTCATTGGAGAATACAGTAGATCTACCTTATGTGAATGTCTAGTTTACAATGAATAATGTGCTACTATATTTCCAGTGTGTCAACATGCTAAGCTTTAATGGAATTTCTCTTATCACAAAAACAAAGCATTTAAAAAATAGATATTTGAACACTGGAGTTGTTTGTAATAGTTTGAACAGGAATTTAAAAAATAGAATAATGATAAAATGAGTTGTTGAAAAGCAACTTGTTTGGGACTGGGCATAGCTCAAGTGATATCCTGTCCGTCTAGTGAGCTGGAGGTCAGGAGTCGCAGTACTGTCACCCCTCCCCAAAAGAAGCAGCTGTTTACTCATATAATACTTACTTATTTTGCATTCAAGGAGGAATAGCAATTTTGTATCTCCAAAAGTTTGGTTATTTTGAAATGTGATTTACTTAATTCCATGTGGAATGTTCTTCCCAGAATTCTGAATTTGAGAAAATATCTCTTATCTATTAATAACTTAAGTCAGCAGTAGGTGGTAAGTGAATAAATACAAGGAGTGATGAGTAGACTTTGACTTTGAAACGTGAGGAGTCTGATGGAACCACAGAGGAAGAGGGTTTTTTTATCAATGTGTACTCTGCCCTTGCCCAGGTATCACTGAATTCAGCTATGACTAGGACAGGCTTAAATGGTTTTCCCTGTTGGAAACTGCAGACAGTCTAAGAAGTTCAATACTTGCCCTAATAGATTTGAAAAATATAGCCCTTTTACAAAAATCGCTTACATTTCTCCTTTTGTTTTTAGTCTACCCTGAGAAAAGATGAAAGAGAAATGAAGACTCAGAACTTTCTTATCTGTTTTTCTTTTCTGTTGGTATAAAATCAACACTCTGTCTAAAGAAAACAAATTGTTTGACCTCTTTTCTCTGTGCCGGAATTAATAAAAATGAATAGAATCTTATACGGTGGTCCAAGACTGTTGTTTTCCAAAGGTGTGTTGCTGAGAAAGCTTCAATTTTTTTCTCTTAGCCTATTTCAACATAGGACTTCTAGTTCCTTATTGGCTAATTGTTGAAAATAAATATTAATACTCTTCTGAGTTGTGAACAATGAATATCCAAAGTACCATTTTAACTTCATGATAATTCTCAATGGAATAATAAAAAGTATGCATAGGTAAGGCATATAAAGTTTGACTCTTCCTTACTGCTGGGTAATAAATGACTATTGACTCTGTAAGAAACAGTGAGGGACAAAAGAGATAGAGATGACTAAAGGTAGTTAAATGAATTGGAAAAGCAAATGATCCTAGGACAAATTTAAGACCCATACCTTCATGAAAATCAAAGTTATCAACTAGAATATAGTGTTTATGGGCAGGTACTTTTGTTTTTAACCTTAATATTGTCAGTCAAAATGTTGTTTTCCAAAGTTACTTTGACTGATTCCATTTTTGCCCAATCCTCTTCAATGAGGTTTTGACAGGTGATTTTAGGTAACTGATACAGATTGACCATGAGATGAATTCAGGCTCTGGATTTCGACTGATTCTTGGTATCATGTGTGAGGGTACTGAGTACTCTTCCCTGTGTTTTAATTAGAGTAGTCTCTATTGACATTGTATGAAGGTGACAAAGGCGGTGGTAGCAGGTGTCCCTGCCAAATGCACTGCCTAACAATGTATCCCAGGATAGTCACTCCTGTCTCTTCACAAAGTATACATCAAGTATGTTTCATTCTTCAGGGATTGTTTTTACAAGTGCTTTGGATGTCATTGTCCTGCCATGACAGAAGGTTCTTTATGTTTGTGTCCTCTCTTCCCTTCATAAATGTGGGTACATTGTGTTTCCCTAGATTAGTCTTTTTTTATTTTAATTTTTCTTGGTGGTACTGGGAATTGAACTCAGGGCCCCATGCTTGCTAGACAGGCACTCTACCACTTGAGCCACTCTGCAAGCCCTATCTAGGTTAGTTTTAAGCCATGTCAAATACCTGTTGCAAGATGTGATCACTCTTACTGTTTTATCATAGCTCTTTTACCTATTCTCCCTTTTGGTAGTTGTGTAAGTCAGGAGTGCACTGAATGTTGAAAGAGATCATGTTTTAGAAATGTGGTGATGATAGACTAGGGGTTTTGAGGAACAAATTATTGATGATGTGTTGTTCTATGTCTATGCTAAACAACAGGAATGATAAATTTAGCACCACCAGAGACTTGCATTTGTGGTTATCATGAAAGAAACAGAGCTACTGGAAATCAGAACTCATGGTGACATAATTCACAATGCAATGTCATAAATATTGACATACCAAGATTAAGTAAAAAAGTGCTAATAGAAGATAAGAAGTCTCATTTTTGTCAATACAAAGAGCTCCCAAAGAACCATTGAATCATGAAATATAACAACATTGCTAACTTCTTCTTGAAATGAGAGATACAAAGTTAGTGAAGAATGAAGTGCATTTAACTAATAAATAAAATAGTGTAGTCATATATTGCATAATGATATTTCAGTCAGGAGCAGTCTGCATTTACCATGGTGGTCCCAAAAGATTATAATGGAGCTGGAAAATTCCTATTGCCTGGTGATATCATAACTGTCATAATGTCATTGTGCAGACATGTGCAAACTCAGAGAGTCATATACATCATTGACTCATGATTTACCCCAGGCTTCCAAGTAGGAAATATAGTAAATTGAATTTTATGCAAATTTAAACTACACAAGCTTATATTTTAAGATAAAAATATTCATTTTATTTAAAACATGGAATAATGTTCCTCTGAAATTAAAATGCATCAAGATCTGCATATTCAAAGATGGCAAATCTAGCCATGTTACATACGTTTGTATCATTTTTGCATCACTCTGACTTGATTTAGGACTACCCCAGTTCTCTTATGTGAGGAACTGATGAATAGATGAAAACTTGCATGGATTCAAAGAAAGTGCTTTGGCATTTTGATATATATTGGGAGAGAAATAATCTTCTCTGACTAATGAAAGATGAGCAAAAATTTGCGTATGAGGTTGGTGGATATGTGGACAAATATAGCTATTTGTCCATTTTATTTAATTCATGTGAAACTTGTATAATTTCTTCAACACTAGTCTATAAAATTGTTACTTGGCCAATAACTTAAAAGTATTGCATGCAAATGACAGGCCATTTTTACATATTTACTTTGTATCTCCACTCGGTTAATAGCTCTGTTTTTTTCAAATTTCTTTATTTATTTACTTAATCATTTGATATATAGTCCCTAGAGATTAGTTCCTTAAAAAACTGGCCTCAAGAATCTCAAAGAGCTGGGCATCAGTGGCTGGTACCAGTAATCCTAGCTATTTGGAAGGTGAGATCAGGAGGATCATGGTTAAAGACCAGCTCAGGCAAAAAAACTTGTGAGACTCCATCTCAACCAATGGCTGGATGTGATAGTTCATACTTGTAATCCTTGATATGTTGGGAAGCATAAAATAGGAGGAACATACTCCAGGATCCTGGCAAAATGCAAGACCCTATTGCCAATATAATCAGAGCAAAAATGGCTGGTGGCATGGCTCAAGAGGTAGAGTACCTGCCTAGCAAGTGTGAAGCTCTGAGTTCAAACACCACTATCTGGAAAAAAAAAACAAACAACACTTCAAGGAAAGGATGGAATTAAGGAGCAGTATCACTGAGGAGTAAGGACTTACACGTCTGGGATGTTGCAAATAACAAAGAGGAGTCCATCCTATATGAGTGTGAAGAGGCCTTCATCCACCTACACTAGAGCAATTTGGTTGGTGATTGAAGAGCTACACATATGAGTCACAGACATCTATGAGTGATTAGAGGGGTCATTAGCTCAGCAGATACAAACTCTAAAGTTTTAGGTAAAGTTAGTTCATGTCTTTGGTGAGGTGCTAAGTAAGGCGCTGGAGCAGAGATTACAAGGAACAGAGTACAGAGTGTAGCTCCAATGACTGTCAAGAAGAATATGTAACACAATTAAGTTGCTTCTATGGTATGGGAAAGATGATTTCTTGGTCTTTTAAACTGTAATAAGAAAAAGATATGGTAGAACATCACCAACAATGTTTAAATATCAGCTCCATTACTTCTTCCTACTTCCTTAAGAATTGGTTCTTCCCAATGGTCTTTTATATGTTATTTTATATTTTTATTCATTTATTCATATGTGCCTCCCTCCCCCCAACACTCCCCTTGCTTCCAGGCAGAATCTGTTCTGCCCTTTTCTACAATTTTGTTGAAGAGAAGACATAAGCAATAGTAAGAAAGACAAAGCATTTTTGCTAGTTGAGATAATGACAGCTATACAGAGAGTTTCCTAGCATTGCTTCCATGTACAAATGTGTTACAACCCAAGTTGATTCATCTCTAACTTATCTTTACACTAGTTCCTGATCCCCTTCTCGTGTTGACCTCTGTCACTTTAAGGTTTCTATATTAGCTCCTCTGCAGTGGGGACATCAAACACTTTCATGGTTTGGTTTCCTACCTATCCCCATTGCTCCTGATGTGCTCTCCCCTTAGCGTGT